ATATCCTGCCTGCCTCATGTCTCACTAATGGTTTCTCCGCGTCAACCAATGCTAATACTATCTATCAGTGAGAAAGAGAAAACGAAAAACACGGGGTAAAAGCTGAACTCGGGACAGAAGTTGCCCTCGAGTTTCGGTGGGCGGGACTAGAGATGCATGAGAACTACCACTTCTGAGAGCCATAGCGCCTTAGTAACTGTGGAGCCGTGAAAGTGGGATGATCGTAGAGGCTAGGGGCCAGAAAGGAGGCCTAAATTACATCCTTATCCCTGAGAGTCAGAGTAGGCGTGGCATTTGAACATGGCACGGAACTGGTTACTCGTGGAATATTCCAGTCTGGGACAACTGTCATCTTGTTCTGTGTTGGACAGAGACACGACAACAATTGTGTCAAGATGAAAATATCTCACCAGAAGCATAGACACCTTCAGGTTAAGTTGAAGCATGCGGCCACGCCTACCCGATCTCAGGGATTTCGAGTATACTTGACCGCGGAGATTTTCTCTAAATTGACGGCTTACATTAATTTCCCATTCGTACGGGCCAGTCGATGCGCTGATCAACCTTTATGCCCTCCCAAACAGGTCCTACACCGGTTACACTCGAAACCCCTAGATGTGGTGGGCGTGGCTGCGTACTTCAAGCAAACGTTGCGATAGCTCCGGTTTTTGTAAGATATTCTCATTTTGAAACAATTGTGGTAATGTCCCTGCCCAATACTGAACAAGATGACAGTTGTATAAAACTGAAATATCCCACGAGTAACCCATTCTATGCTATTTCCCAATGCTATGCCACGCCTACTCCGTCTCAGGGATAAGGAGTATAACGGCCCGGAGGAAAGGTTTGGCCCACTAGGGCGAGACACGATCCGATATTTCACAAACGCGGTAAAAACAACGTTAAAAAGGCAGAGCTTCACTACTTACATTGCCCCAATCCCCCCTCACCTCGGATGTGCAAGCATCGGGCCATGCACCATTGGTTGGTTCCAGTGTCCCATCATCGCCATCAGAACGAGATCCCAATAGGGTCGCTATGTCGATCTCCTCTCCACTTACGACCACCTGAAAGCGAAGCAAGAATGACTATCAAAACCTTTTAATATGTACGAGAATTCTCGAAAAATGTGTGAAATTTGGTGTTTGGTGGTTAAGGTCAGGGTTCGTTGATACTTTGCGGCAGCGTCCACCAGCAATCGGCAGCATCTTGAGGACTAAGGAAGTATAGGTATCGATCTAGCGACCAGCAGCATCTACCAGCGTCCCCGTCCCCGAGGGAGAGTATGGGGCGATAGGAGGGTGGCAGACAGCTGGTACCCTCCTATCCCCCCATTCTCTCTAGCATCAGCCTGCTAACCTCCTATCTCCCCATACTATGGCTGAGTTGCGTGCCTCCAGCTCAAGCAATCCCTGGGAGGCTGTGGCGACCGCTGTTGTGCCCGCTATATTATTCCGCGGCGTCTACGTCTGTTCTTTACCCCTTGACCCCGTTTCTCAACTCGGATATGACGAATGAACGCAGACGTTACAGGCCTTACAGCTTCTTGGGCTACTTCAAGTGCTCAAACGCTCGTGTCGCTAAGTTCGATCTTCAAGTTCGCATGGCTGCAGTCAAGATAGACCGTATGCTGAAGGTTTGCCAGTGCGAGCAAGGGATTGTATTTGGCCTGGTGAAAAATTAAAAAAATCCCCTGGTTGTTGATCCTTCTCGTTACGTCATATATTCCGCGGTGCTATAATTGTTCTTCCCTGACCTTTTCCTCAACTCGTTGGATCTTGATAGGGGATTGTGTCAGAGAGTTTGCCTCAGCACTGTTGTGTGCCCTGATTACAGTTGACGCCTCTTTTAGATAACTGAGACGGGTCAGGATCGGGTCTCCCAATCAAGCGAAAAAATACAATTTAGAAAAAGTGGACTACTTTCTAGTTCCTCAAAAACTTGCACTGACGCGATCGCCCTCACCTCCGCAGTTACTGTAGCTCCCACTACATCACATGAGTCGGCCGTGTCCGTCACGCTCGTGGACGAAGAGGTAGAAGTGCTTACTGGTGCTTCCAGATTATCTTCCGAGCAGACGTTATACGGTAGTTCGAACCTGTTCTGAATTACAAAGGCATGAATACTGACAGTCTCCCTTTCCTTGAAAAGTTAAGTTAGTTCTCAAACCGCGAATTTTTAACATACACAATAGATGTGACTGAAGGTAATTGTAGCCTGCAATGATGGTGAAGTATTAGCGCCGCGTTACGTGGAAGCCGTTCTTATTCAGCTCCTTTATTTTGGCCTAGGCAACTCCCATGCTCAAGCCGTGATAGTAGAAGAAAAGAGTTGAGGGAGGGCTGCGTCGGTACTCACGGTACGGGACGCAGTTCTAGTCCATACCTCAAAGAAGTACGAGGCAAGTGGTGGTACTTATGAGAAGAGTATTGCCTTGAACATTACGGCTACCACATTATCTACCACACCTTTCAAGACTATGGGCAAGTATTTTGAGATGAAAAAACACGGCAGAACATTTCCGCCAGCCTAATAATTGTAGCGAAGGCAATAAAAAGGGCGAATACGACCGAATTACGGCTGCTAATGACAGTCGCGGTGGATATCGTCACTCACCGCCGAACCTCAGAACTAG